GGTTTAAGACTTGTCTGGTGACACAGTCCCAGCTGCACTCCAGTAACTGATACCCTGCCCACAGCTGTCTGCTGGAACACACTCCTCACTGATCATGGTGTGCCTGGTACATGGGGTCTGCCATGGAGAGTGGCTGCTGGAAAGCACAGAGCCAAAGTGAAAGGACAAGGGTCCAAGGTCACTGGTTGCAGCAAGGGGAAGTCCATCCAGATATAAGGAGAAAAATCACAAGGAGCAAAGAGTGGAACAGGAGCTCAGAGATGATGTGTGATCTCCAGCCTTGGAGATTTTCAAATCTCACCTGGGTAAGGCAGTGAGCAGCCTCATCAGGTTTTGAAGCCAGATTTGATTTGAGCAGGAGGTTGGACTAGAGCCCTGCAAATTCCCTCCTGAGTGAAGCTATCAGTGAGAGAAGAGTTAAAGGTGTGTGCTGGGCACTTCATCTTAAGTTCTGCATCAGCTTCCCAGTTGCTTTTATTTGGGTTTTGCCCAGTTGGTTTTATTGAAGATTGAAATATCATCTTATCTTAAATAAAAGATAGTGGTTAATCTTCCCAGCTTTGTTTGGATTTATCTACCCACTGCAACATACACCATTTGTCAAGCTAGATCCTGTACAACTTGCACAGGAAAAGCTGATGTCAGTCTAGCAGAACAAACACATTCTGCTGCTTCTAGGCAAAAAGCATGGCTTTTAGATACAAGTGAGAGTTGGGAGAGTGATTTGAGATCCACCACAATGAGGATCCCTTTGGGAGTATAGGATGTGATGCTGCTGCAGAGTGCTAGCATTACATCAGTAACTTGTTCCCTGGATCCCGTTTAATTCCCTCTCATCCTCAGTCTCCCTGCAGTCTTCTTAGTGTTTTGGGTTCTTTTAGCTGCCTCTGAAACCTTCTATAATCTTCAAGTAATCAATGCCATCTTCCAATCTCAGAGATTTAATCTGAATACATCTCTCAAAAATTGAGAGGGAAGTCCAGTATAAAGAATGCAAAGAAAATACTTTGGTGTGTAGGACCCTGCCTTAGGGAACAGTGTTGACAAATCCTGTTTGCTGTTTTGACTCGTTACTCCTCCCAGGAGTCTGTTCCAGCCTTTCTCTGCTCTGACAGAGATGTTCCCCTCATTTCCAGCACCAAGAGAATAATGTCACTTGTGCTGCCTGCCTGAAGTTTTCTTGGGTCCTGGCAGAGCTCACTATCCAACTGATATCACTGAGCTGCAGCAGATCTTGCAAGAATAAATATATTTGCATGATTAAGGGAGCCACAAGAAGGCACACAATTTGTGTAGTAGAAACCTGAACCCAGGAACTACTCTGCTGTGACTCTGAGCATCAGGTAATAGATCCTGCTTTAGTGAAGCCTCGCATAGCGAGGCACACAGCTCTCTCTTAACAGCAGCCAAAATCGCATCAATACAGCATGGTATCTCTTGAGTGCAGTGCAGATTATGACTAATTTATGTTGCTGGTTTTGACCCTAGCCAGACAACTTAATATGATTCGAATTCATTACTGAAGACCAGACCAAAGAGCTGTGTGCATTAATACACACAATTACTGGGGTGGACAGCTTAAAAGTTGTGTTCTTAAATGCAGGGTTCCTGACCCTTTGTGACCTAGCTGTCTCTGTTGCATTAAAGCTCTAAGTGTATAAATGTGAATATTTCAGGCTTTCAGATTCTACTTTGTACTGAATACCTTAGACTGCTGAGAGAAGGAGAAAACCATATTCTAGTTTTGGAAAGCTGTGACCTATGTCAGGTCAGTACGTTCTGTGCCACTTCTCTTGTATCTTCCTGGTTGCTTGGTCTTTTCTTCCATCCTCATTTTTGACCAATAATAAGTGATTGTTCTGTGATCAAAAACCTTGATTAGTAAAGGGTGAGGGATGTCCAGAGGGATATGTTGACTCCAGGAAAGCTCAAATTTAGAAGAAACTGGAAATGGATTTTTAGACCCTTCCTAGCTGTAACCATTTGGATTCTTTGTGAGCAGTCCAGTTTCTATGCTGGAGTGAATGGAAAGAGAATTAGAGGGAGGAGCTGGGTAGAGCTGGGATGGCGACAGGAGATAATCTGTATGAGCTGCCCCTTTGGGGGACAAAACCCTGTGACTAATCCCCATCTGTATGATCATATGGAGTACCTGTGTTGCTGGGGTCATCCCATGCACTATTCACCTCAGTAAAAGGGTACAACAGCCTTCTAGGCAGACAGCTCAACAGCTCTCAGCATGTGTTAGCACCCAGGAGAGGAGTGTTAGATGTGTGTAAGTGAGAAGGGATCATAAATACGGGCAACTTGGGGGCATCTTCTGTGGAAATGGCTGTGGTTGAAGGAAAGGTAAAGGCAGTTATGGTTATGCACAGATTAAAGACAAAGCATATGCATACCTCAGGGGGGATGATGAAGCATGATTTGAAAGGGGCAGGATTAAGGACAGACAGTTCCTGAATTTCAGAGAACAGGACTGGAAAAACCTGGAACAGCACATGGCTAATACTCTGTAAGTCACTTCTTTTTCACAGTTTCCTTAATGTTTTCACTTTTTAATAAAATTGAGATATAATTCTCTTTGCCTTTTTTTTTTTCTTTTTTTCTGAGATCTGACATCCCACTGTGTTTCCCTCTGAGCTCCTGTCCCAGTTGCCCAGGGCACAGAGCTCCTCAGAACCTGTAGGAGAGGGGGAGCTGGAGATGGGCTCTGTCCCCCTTTCACCCCTGATTCCCTGTACCCACCAGTGGCACAGGGACCATGAAGCATTAGAATAGAAGCTGGAGGCCACTCATTTCAAATGTGCCAATACTGACTTTGTCCGCTGCTTGCGTGCTCCTGAGATAAGTGCTTTGATCATAAATAAGCATCTAACAGTCAACATGAGTGACTGGCTGCCCAAAGAAGCCTAGACATTCCTAAACTCCAAATCCTCTTCCTCTTATCTCCTCCCCTTTACCCAGAGGACACCACCACCTCATGGTGTTTTTTCGCTGCTGGAAAACAAAGGTGGACCAAAGCTGTAAATCCTCCCCACGTCTGCCAAAAGCCGGCTCTAACCCCTGAGCGGCAGAGTGCTACTGGGGATCAAAGGCCTCCTAAGGTGCTGCTTGGCCAGAAATCTTTTGTCTGCATCCTCAACATGTGCCCATCCCAACAGACAAACTCATCACACCTCCTCTTGCTTCCCCCCACTCCCTCTCGGAGGACAAGGTGCACCGTGCTGTGGCTGTGACAATGGGCTCCTTTGGGGCTCAGCCTGGGCACGGTGGGGTACGTGGAGGCGCTGGGGTGGGGGGTGGCTTTTGGGATGGGGAAGAAGGGGCAGGGGCACAGGTACTGGGATACAGAATCACAGAATCGCCTAGGTTGGAGGGGACCTTTAAGATCATGTAGTCCAACTATAAAAAAACCACAAGAAACCAAAAATAAACAAAAAAATAATAATAAAAAAAAAACCAAAATACACACACCAACACTAAACCATATTCCCGAGCACCATGTGAATTCGTCTTTTGAGTATCTCCAGGGATGGTGCCTCAACCACTTCCCCGGGAAGCCCATTCCAACGCCCGAGAACCCGCGCTCTCCGGCCGCTTTGAAAAGTAGGGGATTCTCCGCCCCCCCCTCTCGTGCCCCCGCCCCAAAATTAAAATTAACAATAAACAAACTCGCCCGAAGGCTGCCCAACTCTCCGAGCTCCCCCTGGAGAAGGGGAAAGGCGGCGGGGGAACAACCCGGGACCCCTTTCTCCACTTCCCCCCTCCCACTCGGTGTGTGTGTGAGGGGGGGCCGAGAGGGCGGTGAGCGGCCGCCCCGCCCCGCCGCTTTCTGTCCCCTCTCCCGCGCCGTACGGCCGGGCGCGCGCCGGCTCCATCCGCTGGCAACTTTGTGGCGCGGGCGGCGGTGCCGCCGCCGTTCTGCCCTCAGCGGGAGGCGGGCTGATTGAGGCGGGGGGAGAGGGAGGACCGGCCGACCGACTGACCGATCGACAGACCCCCGCCCGCCCGGGCCCACCCCGCCATGGCCGGCATCGGCATTTACCCAGAGGACACCACCACCTCATGGTGTTTTTTCGCTGCTGGAAAACAAAGGTGGACCAAAGCTGTAAATCCTCCCCACGTCTGCCAAAAGCCGGCTCTAACCCCTGAGCGGCAGAGTGCTACTGGGGATCAAAGGCCTCCTAAGGTGCTGCTTGGCCAGAAATCTTTTGTCTGCATCCTCAACATGTGCCCATCCCAACAGACAAACTCATCACACCTCCTCTTGCTTCCCCCCACTCCCTCTCGGAGGACAAGGTGCACCGTGCTGTGGCTGTGACAATGGGCTCCTTTGGGGCTCAGCCTGGGCACGGTGGGGTACGTGGAGGCGCTGGGGTGGGGGGTGGCTTTTGGGATGGGGAAGAAGGGGCAGGGGCACAGGTACTGGGATACAGAATCACAGAATCGCCTAGGTTGGAGGGGACCTTTAAGATCATGTAGTCCAACTATAAAAAAACCACAAGAAACCAAAAATAAACAAAAAAATAATAATAAAAAAAAAACCAAAATACACACACCAACACTAAACCATATTCCCGAGCACCATGTGAATTCGTCTTTTGAGTATCTCCAGGGATGGTGCCTCAACCACTTCCCCGGGAAGCCCATTCCAACGCCCGAGAACCCGCGCTCTCCGGCCGCTTTGAAAAGTAGGGGATTCTCCGCCCCCCCCTCTCGTGCCCCCGCCCCAAAATTAAAATTAACAATAAACAAACTCGCCCGAAGGCTGCCCAACTCTCCGAGCTCCCCCTGGAGAAGGGGAAAGGCGGCGGGGGAACAACCCGGGACCCCTTTCTCCACTTCCCCCCTCCCACTCGGTGTGTGTGTGAGGGGGGGCCGAGAGGGCGGTGAGCGGCCGCCCCGCCCCGCCGCTTTCTGTCCCCTCTCCCGCGCCGTACGGCCGGGCGCGCGCCGGCTCCATCCGCTGGCAACTTTGTGGCGCGGGCGGCGGTGCCGCCGCCGTTCTGCCCTCAGCGGGAGGCGGGCTGATTGAGGCGGGGGGAGAGGGAGGACCGGCCGACCGACTGACCGATCGACAGACCCCCGCCCGCCCGGGCCCACCCCGCCATGGCCGGCATCGGCATCGACCACTCCAAGCTGCCCGGAGTCAAAGAAGGTAAGCGGTCACCCCCCGGGAGGGGCGGGAGCCGGACGGGGCGGTTCGGGGTGTGGGGGGGGAATTGGGGGAAGGAAAGGGAGAAACTCTTCTTTTAAAAAAAAAATAATAAAATAATTACACCTCCGGGGTGTACCGGGTGTGCCTGCTTCCCCCTGCCTTGTCCCCGGCTGTGCGGGTCGGAGGGAGGGCAGGGAAGGCCGGCGGGGAAGCGGCAGCCTTAGCTTGGCCGCCCCTCCGAGCCCGGCTGAGGGCTCGGCTCCCCGAGGCTGGGGGGAGAAAGGGGGGGTCGTCGGGGAAGCGCCGGTTCTCCCCCGGGAGAAAGCGAGGAGCGGCGCTGGGGGAGGGGGACAGCCCTTTGTCTGCGCCGGGGCCGCTCCTGGCGCTTCTGCTCCGCTCCCTCCCCTCCGCTCCCGGCTGGGGGGGCCGGGGTGGGCTCCCACGGGAGATAAGCCCTGCTGTGAAATAGTAGCCCGGGGACCCTCCGGGCTACCGACGTGCAGTTAGGGCTCGGCTGGGTTTGGAGGCTCCGCTCGGGGCACTGAAAAATGGGAGCGGAGCTGTGAATATCCCTAGACGTGATTTGAGGGGGACTGGGGATGTTGAGGTCCCCGGGTGAAAAATACCGGAGCCTGTAGGGGTTTTCGTGAAGGCTTTGCCCTGCACTGAGCCTCCTCCACCCTGCAGAATCCCTGGGCACCCCCAGAGTGCAGGGGAAGGGCATGCTCCTCGCTTTCTGCGAAATCCCCGTGCCCCCCAAAAGTGCAGGTGAAGCAGCTCCGCTGGCTTCCTGGGTGTCCGGCTGCTGTGCCTGCCTGTGGCTGTCGGTTTAGCCTTCGCTCAGTCCATGGAGTCACCTTCAGTTGGGCCAGGCTGGCCTCGGCTTCCCTCCGAGCAGAGTGTCTGCTTCACATGTGTACCTTTCAGCTTAGTTAAAGCTGCCCCGGAGCTGCTTTGGGTTTGAAAAGCTTTGTACGAGGTAGAGTCTCTTCTATCTGACGTTGATCTAAATCTGTAGAAGCTCCGTCAAAATCCAGTTACTTTAGATTCATGCTGTAAAGAATGAGAATACAGTGTGCCTGTCTAAATGCAACTAAAATTCCTTAAACTTGTTTTCCTTGCCACTGGCCATTAATTTTTCTTTTTTAAAATTTCAATTCTTGCAAAATAGTAAACATGAATTTGATGATTCAGCTAGGCAAGAGTAGAAGGCATGTATCCACGCAGGGAGGTGGAGCTGCCTTTTGACCTCTTGCCATCCTTCAATGTTTTGCTTCTTATTGTTACTGCAGGAAAAGTAATATCTATGTGCTGAAGTTTTAGGGGTTAATGTTGGTCCCATTAAGTCATTAGCAAAATTGTTATGGGTCATTTTAGTGTGGCCGAGATCTTGTCCTTAGAGTCTGTCCAGACATGGTTACTTAAGAAAATTAATCCAATTAACCTTTCCAGTGGGTTGATTAAAGTGAATTAAATCCCCGTGTAGATGCTTTTATTCAGAATTTAAGTAGCCTTGATTTGATTTAATTTGATTCATTTTTAAAGTGAACTAAGTAGACTGACTTAAAATCACATGCTGAATGAAAGTATGTTTATGGGGTTCTAATGAAGCTCAACCAGCCCTTGGTAAATTTACACCTATGGTTAGCGTGGATTAAGTTTCAAGAGTGTCCTGGTACGACGCTCTGCTGTTACCTGATAGTGATTGGATTAAACCAGCCTCCCAGGGCAGCTCCAATGTGCAAAGTACATGAGGCCTGAGACACGTTCTGCAAAGCCTCTGGCATGTTTCACACTTTTAGTTTGGTGACATCATTTGCTTTTGTTGTGCTAAGTGGTGAAACTGAGCAATGCTTTGAATTACATCTTTTCATGCTGGGTGTTAGTGCCAACCAAGGAAAGAAATGCATTGCTTTCCATACCTAGGGAAATATTTATTGTTCCTGATACAGAAATCACTGTTGATCCTTCTGGAGAAACATTCCCTTTCTCCATTTCGGGTAAAGGTCAGCTTAGTCATTCATTAACAATGAAGAACATTGTTTTGGTTTGAGTACTTTGTTCTTCACCAGCTCTGTCTCCCTCAGGAGAGGAGGTGCTATGTCCAGGTTCTCCCTGTGAGACAGCATCATCCTCCTCTTCTGCTGTGGTCCCCAAAAACTCTACTACAAGCGAGGTCATTTCTGTGCAATTGATGGCAGTAAAAATCTGATAACCATAGCTAGGTGCTGCAGGAAGTCTTGCTTCTTGTGTTTACTTTCTTTTTTATCTTTAAAAGCTGAAGGCCTGATCCAGATGGCATTTTGCTGCTGAAAACTGCTTCAGCCGGTCCGGTTTATTTGTGGGCAGGAGTTTATTGATGTAAAATACACCCTCAAAACACTCTTTTCCTAGTATAAACTAGACCTTGCTGCTGCAGCCTGGTGTTACAGAGCCGTTTTTCCACGGGCAGTGAAGTGGATGTTCTGACCACTGTGGTCAGTAAAGCTCTTGTAAGTTATTTGCTGAAGGTTTTGGTGTTAGCTGCAATCTGCGGGCAGAGTTTGTCTCCTTGTATTTCTATTCGCCTCTCAAGTGTCTGTGACATTTTCTCTTTTCACAAAGCAGCTTTTGCTGTGTGCTCTTTTGACCCACCCCGGGGGATTGCTCGGCTCTGAGTGTAGATCTTTTTCACTTGAGGTCTCATTTGTGAGCCTTCTGGGAACAAAAGCATCCTGGAAATATTATTTTAATTAGTTACTTATAAAGCAAAGAAAAGAAACTGGCTTGGGCTCTGCTTGATTTCTAACCAGTTGTCTCTCATCTCTTGTGATCTGATGCATTTTTTACCAGCTAAAATTGGGAAGGGCTACACCTTCTCAGTGGCTGCCTGCTTTAAATGAGCTCTTTGGTGCAGCTCCCTGTGCCATCTCCAAGTGCTGGGTGTTGCCTCTTGGACCTGGGAGCATCCCTGTCTGCATGCAGGTGGGCAGAGCTGCATGGGGCACGTTCCTGGGGAGGTATTTTGGAGCTGTGCAGACCTCATCGCTCTCTGGAGGATGTACCTGTGGACCCTTCTGTTGGTGCTGCCTTTGCCAAAGGGTTGGGGTTTGTGGCAGTGGCTTTGCAAAGGGGATGCCTGTCTGCTACCACTGAGGCTCAGTCCCTCGCCCAGTGCAGACTCTGAGAGCCATCAGTTGTTAGTAGCAGCAAGTAGAACCCAGGCATGGGCTTCCTTGCCAGGGACTCCAGGACTTCGTACCTGTCTGAATCCTCTGTGAGGAAAGGAAAGGTGGGGGAAGAGGAACCCTCTATTGCTCCTTGGACTAGTGGAAAATTGCAGAGACTTAAGTGTTTTTATTTAATCTTATTTTTAGTAGTACAATGAAAATGTGTAAGGGCAGTACATCTGTGCCCATCATTGGAACCAGCCCTGCCATGCTGCCGTCTCTTGAGCTCGGTCTTGACAAAGGCTGATTGTGCCACTCGTGCTTGGAGAGGCACAGCAACAATGCTCACACTATGGTTTCTACTCTTCATTAAGCATCTGATTTGACTTTCTGAAGCTCTTGAACTGTACATTCAAATGCTGCTAGTTGTTGTCTGCTACCAGAGAGGCCAGTTTCCCACAAGTGATAGCAAAAGATACATATCTGTGGCCTTGGGGAAACAGGAAGGGCTTGAATCTTTATTTTTTGTCTTGGGAAGGTGTTCTTTGGGGCAGGCAGGCTGGCTGGCTCTCTTTTGCTATAAATTGAATAAAAATTTGCTGTAAGCATCAGTCTTCCACTGCCTCCCAACTACAGCACCTTTCCTCTGACCTCTGCAGCTTAATGTGACCTTTGCTGAGACTCCTGCAATAAAAACCTCCTGGCTGCTGACTCCCCAAGGGGCAGGGGAAGGGGATCAGCTCTGAGCTGCACTGTCTCAGACTCTCCTGGAAGAGACTGTCTGATGTTATCTGCTTACTTCAGGGCTTTTAGTGCCTGTGTGTGCTCAGCAAACACGATGGTGGAGGAGAAGAACTTGCTGTCTGTCAAAGGTGGAAGCAGGTTCAGAATGTGTTGATGGCTGGCACGGTGTCTGGTGAGGAGGGATTCTGCTTTGGAATTTTTCAGGGACTGGTGTTGATGGATGAGATGTCAGCTGTACTCATGTGAAGGAAGGGTTGGCCTTTAACTGGATTAATATAATCAGGGCAACAATGTTGAGAGCAGCTGAGGGTCAGCCAGGTCACTGTGAAGCCACCTGCACCATGCCCTTTGGCACCGACTGAGATTTTTTTCCTTGCAGCGTGATGTGCAGTGTCACGGTTTTCTGCTTTGTGAGTTCCTCTGAGAAGGGCTCTGAAAAATGCAGGCAAGCTGGATGGCTTGGGGGCAGCGAGGAGGTAGAGGGTGATGGGACGTAGACACAGGCTTTTCTTTCTAGGTCACTGGTTCATGTCCAGCTCTTCTGAGTAATAGGAAGTCTGTTTTTCCAGCATGCATGAATTCAGTAGCTGAGGCTGTGGTACTCATTTCACTTCTGGTTAAAGCGGGGTGAAAGTTTTATTATGCATTCAGTTGTTCTGGGTCTGCAGCGCTTGGCAGAGGAGATGGGCAGGATTAGCATATTTCATGCTCTTGGCTCCAAAATGCAACTGAGCAAGCAGGTCTGCCTCCTCCCATCCCTTAAATCCTTAGCACTGTCCTCTGTGAGCTGCCCTGGAGGTTGTACCAAGGCAAAAAGATTGCTCAAAAAGCAGTCTTTGGCAGAGAAGAGCTTCCAGACTCATGCTGATGCCTTCTACAGAGAAATTTCCTTAGTTACTGACAAGTCTTTGGGCTGGGATAAGAGGGGCACAGTCTGTTTTGCCCAGATTCCTTGAAGGGAGGGGAGGGCATCCCCCATTTGTGACACTAGGACACTGGCCATCACCCATCGCTGCTCTCCAAGTAATGATCCCAGCTGAGGACTGTGTTGCAGACAGCATTTTGGTTGCTGTGACCACGGGCCTCTGTTTACCCTTTAATTTCCTG